GTTCTACAAGAAAAACCATCCAAGTACATCCTTTGTCTGTACCAACCAAAAAATGTTGATGATGTTGCCCAAACTCACCAATAATCACATAAATGCCGAAGAATATAATAGCATAATCGAACAATCTTCCTCCAATCACCTGTGAAACACCCTCAGCTTGTCCTCGGTCATGATAGGAAGTTTCAAGAACTAAATGAATCAGAGCATCAATCCAAAGCACAAAGGACACTAGTCCAAGGTTTCCGGGAGAAGCTATAGGTGTTCTCTTGGACAGCGACATCAAAACTGTTTGCCACAAGTTGAATGCAAAAAAATATATCAAGCCAATCTTATAAAAAGTTAGAAAGATTGATGTCATCCTAACTAGGACCACAAGACAAGAAGTCCAAGAACTCCTAAAAGCCAATCCCCTAATTGAATTTCAAATATAAACATAGTATACAAGTTAAGTGGCAAGTTGAGGTTATGTGTGAACTTCACCAAAAACTCGACTTGCCAAAAAGGTGGCTACCCACTCCCTTAGATAGATGCATTGGTTGACAAGATGATTTGTTTCCTTGTAATGAGCTTCCACGATGTACTTTTAAGCCACCATCAAATTAAAATACACCCAGTCGATTGGGAGAAAACTTCCTTCATCATTAGAGAAGATTTATTTTGATATAAAGTGATGCCATTCAACATGATTGATTAGATATTCAAAAACAAAAGAGGATCATGGAGGCATATGTCAATGATTTGCTAGTAAAAAGTGAGAACCCCGAGCAAAACATCCTTGGCTTTAAGTTTTCCAAGTTGAATAGTTCCTATATGAGCCTCAACAGCTTGAAATGTACCTTTGGAACAGGACAAAAAAAGTTAGTCGAGTGCTTGCTCACCCGTGAGGATAACAAGATCAAATCGACAAAGTGAAAGCAGAATTATTAAACAATACTTTGGCGTGTATGCTTCTTTTCAAAACCTTGGAATCTATGGGACTTCCCAATGAATTTTGTCATTGCTGCCGATTTTACTTAAACTAAAAAAATTACTATTGAAACCTATTTTGTCAAAATTTCTTCAATTAAATAGCTAAATTACATATGTTGTCTATATAAAATTTATTATCATTGTAATTGTTTTTCTACCAAAAGGATTAATGCTATATTATGTACTTAAGGGTTGCAAAACTGATAATGAATATTAAAATATTAAATGAAGAGTAAAGTGTAAAAATAGTTTTCTGAGTGTTTACATGAGGTCATTTAATCCCAAAGTCCATAAAAGTGTCAAATTAGCCCTCATGCTCTTTAAATTGGAACTGAAATAGTTCTCTAAAACCATATTAAACGAGTCTAGCGATTTAAAATTTATTTAAATGATATAAACGATGTAATTTAAAAAAATTTGATTGTGAAATATAAAATAAAAATCTCAAAATTTAAATAACCAATACCATAATAATTTTAGCATGTTCTATTAAAATTTAATAACAATTAATTTTCAAAAAATTTAAATATAAAATAGAAGAATCATGCCACAATAATTTTTAAGAAAAAACATTATATTGAATAAAAATTAAATATCACAAGAACCTAAAATCTATTGGCACCTTAACCATCTTATTACTTAATTTACTCGAGGTTGTTATAGGCTCTGATCCGCCATGTTGGCATGAGATCCTCCGATATAGTTGGTTGCTCTTTATCCCATCGTTGAATCTACCACATGGCGCCAAGAAAAACTTTGTCCATTATGTAATCATTTTCTTCCTCGAAACTCCATTTTTACTCTCCTTGACTTCGTATGCAATGTCTTTCTTTGGAAACTCCACATGCAGAGCCATCATACGGATTGCTTCCATTTATTGGCTTATCCTTCGTACCTTTCTATTTCTTCTCACGATGAGAGGTCTCATAAATGGCCTCGATAAGTTTTTTCCCATGGCCAAAGAAAATTCAGAAGAACCGCAAAAATCCATTTTAAGTCGACAACGAATAATGAGGCGATTGTGCGCTGACGAGGGAGTCGACCGATTCTCTGAAACCAAGTATGATTTTTCGAGTTTCTGACTGGACCAGCGGTTCGAGCAGTTCTATGTCGGTTCGCTGCAAATCCGGTTCTTACTCCCACCCAAACTGGTACCATGTCTGGTTCTCGAATGAACCAGTCCGACCTTCTGGTTCAGTCTGGTTCTCAAAGCTTTGACTTGAAATGTAGTTGAAGAATTTGGTGTATTAATTGGAAGACCAATTATCTCAAAATTTGGCTTGGTTATATTTGAATCCTACTTGCTCAAGATTATTTAATTATGAAGTCATTAAGAAAGTTAAATAGTGCAAAAATGAACTGTGATCAAGAGAATCAATGTGAATCATCCGATGGAATATTTTCTAATTCTGTCAGAATTTGTTGGAATGACCTTCCAAAAACTATAAATAAACTCTCATTCTAAGGTGGAGGGGAAGAGAAGAGTAAGTTGACAACTAAAGCATGACTCTTAATGAGAAGTTCGCATGAATGACTATCAGCCATTATTGACCACCATAAATGATTGTTACAGTCAAATAATTGCAGATTTTGTAGCCACTATGTATTTATAGTTTTTATAGCCCAATTATGATTATTGCAATCAAACTGCTACTATAAAGTTGTGATTGCTATTTTTATAATCTCATCTTCCCTAATTCAACAGAAAAGTGGACTTTTGTATTTTCAATTTCCAAGTATATTATTTTGACTGGGTAACTCGTGTTTTTTTTCTCTTTTCTTTTCAAGATTTTTTCACGCAAAACATATGGCAATCTCTTATATTTCTACCTATGCATGCTGAAAGTTATGCTAAGTCAAAGCTTAAGATTTCTCTAGTGTGGAAAATTTTTTAGTGTGCAATAGATATGAAAGATTTGAGTGGTCTTAAATTTAAAAAATAAAGTTTTGGTGTTAGATATGTAAATACATAGGAATTAAATGATATATATATATATATATAAGCACCGTAGACAAATTTGACGAACCACGTAAATTTGTGTGTCACTCTGGTATTTTTTTTGCATGCAATTTTTCTCTTTCTATTTTTTGCTTTATTGTCATCGTTTTTCACAATATTCACGCCTAAGGAATAGAGTATTGGGGGTAGAAAGAGAGCAAAAAGAGCAACGATACAATAATGAACAGTAAATTTGCATAACATTTATTCATGAAATAGATGTCTATTTATAACATTGTGGGTCGTACTCGACAACGCCTCTGTCACCCTAACCGACAAACATTTCCTCCGAAGTCTGCTCGCCTTTTTCTAGCGGCTCGCCCAGCTGCTTTGGAGATGGCATCGACGATCTGTTCCCATGTTGCTGCACTTATCGGCGACTTTCCTATTCCTACTCGTTCTCCTCCTTCAGGTTCAGAGTCTGGTTTTCGTATTGGCAAATTCTGCAATGTTTCACAATCGTTCCACGAGGCTCTTGAAGATGGTGGTGATCACACTTTTATTAAAAAACTTGATAAAAAAATGGGAAGTTTGTTCTTATTCTCACAGAGGTTGAAACCACTACTCTCGCGTCTTCTTGGCGTTTTGCTCCTGTGCAAAACTTGAGATCATCTGAAAAGATTTTGAGGCTATGAAGTTGTTGGGCAGTTGGAATATTGGTTTACTTGACGGTCGACACATACTGATTCATTTATCTCACGATGTCGATTACACGCATTTTTTCTCAAAAAGTTATCAAAATCGACAACCGTTTTATGAAAATTCTGAAATGGACTGTCAATTTTGATCCAAAAGTGGAGTTCCTTATCATTCCTGTTTGGATAAAGTTTCTGGGGTTAAAATTATATCTGTTCAACTTGAAAATTTTCTACTCCATAGTAACTGCTTATTGTAAGTTTTTTAAGGTTGATAGTCTTACGTTTGTTGTCACCAGACCCTCTGTGGCTTGTGTGTTAGTTGAGAAAGATTTCACTCAACCAGCTCCGGATGAGGTATGGAATTGAACCACTCACAACGAGCAATGACAAAATGTTAAAATAGAACTACACCCTCCTTATTGCTCTCATTGGAGTATGTTTGGTCAAAGTTCTGTTATTTGATATTGCTTGCATCTTCATCTAAGGTCGGATATCGCTAAAGATCAGCCACCTACCATCCCTGCTGAGAAGGTGCAACCCGATCCTGTTTCCAACACCGCAGTTCCTGATGAAAAACAACATACTACAAGTACAGATCCAAACATGTTTATACTACCCACTGTTATTGAAGAAGGCTCACTTACATGTCAAGGCATACGAGAGTGCTCATTTGATCCAATAACATATCAACTGGTACAACATGTTGCTTGTAATGTTCAACAATCTGCACATCTCTAGCACACATTAGACCAAGATTAGGTGAGTCAATCTTCGGAAGAAGAATGACAGATCTATTCCAGGAGGAAGAAGATGAATGGAGGTCGACTCCAGCTCGGGAACATATTGGCTCGGGAACTTATTGGATGTACATTGGTTACTACTAGCAATGACACTCATCTACCAATTTATTAGCTGACTCCTTCTCTAGAACTCGAGACAGAGGCAAGGTAAAATTGGTCGCTCTGAAACTACCTGATACTACATATTTTGGCACTTTTTAGTTTTTTCTTCAGGTCTCTCATGTATTTTTCTGTATTTTCTCTTTTTGGAATCATTTGTGATTATCGTGTGAACAGAGTGTCATGCTTGGGCTCTCCCACACAATCTATCTGTTCATTTGTGATTATCGTGTGAACAGGGTGTCATGCTTGGGCTCTCCCACACAATCTATTTGTATCATTCTTTCTATTTATTATATTAGCCTTTGGGCTTTCTCAATATATATAACAAAAAAAATAAACCTAATGTTTATCATCACAACTTCATTGATAGTTTTTAAGAAGATACTTAAAAGAAAGAATTGAGCAAAGAACATAAGTGAAGATCAAACACACTGGATTCCTTAAAAATGATTTCGATTGTGTTTGAAATATCACTCGGATAAGTAAAAGTACCTCCTGGTCTTCAAATGAAAAGCTTTGAATCCTTCACTACTACACCACATTTCCTGCCAAAGAAGAAGTTTTGGGGTTTCTTGCATAAGATCCAGGAGTACCTTTCTTTTAACTTCTTGCGGCCAATCACTTCTAGAAATCACTCTTCGAATACCCTTCTCCTTAAGTGCGGGTATGATTTTCCCATAGAACATATCACTGGGCCGTGGAACTGGTGGAACAGGATTACTAGGATTGATTGCGCCAGTTACAGAAAACTGAGCCACCTGGTTATGGTTTTGCCAGGACTTGTAAACACTATAAATGCTAGTCATGTTGTCTACCCACTGGATAAGTCCAGCTTGGCCATTGATTGGAGTGACAGAGTAACAACGTACTCCTAGAGATTTACCAAGATTTTCAGAAGATGAAGCAAGGAAACCATTGATTGCCTGTAATAGTTGCATGATTCGAGCATCAAGGCGTAAATCTTCTCGCCCTTTAAGAAGATAGGTATACTTCTGACCATCTGATCCTAGTAAAACAAGCTTTTTGGGCCTTGTTTTTGTTGATAAAACTTCTACTTCTTCATTGAAGGAAGAAATTGTAACAAGCCCCTGCACAGAAGCTGTACTTCCACCGGCCTCAAGAAGTGAAATTTCTCTCTCAAAACCAGGCATTGGGACATCAGAAGATGTAAGCAATCCCAACTTTGGAGCCATCTCGCTTAGATAGAATTGTGATTTTCTCTGATGGATTGCTAAAGCTGCTGCAATTGCATCAAAAGCTCGCCACACATCACCTAGTGCTGATGCTGATGACGGGGGGATTTTAAAGGATAAGATAGTAGATTTTAGCTGTTTACCATACTCTTTCTGAAACCATTGTTCATGAACAGTCTCTGCTTCACGAGAAGTAGATGCCAGACGTCGTTCCAAGGCCACAACAATCGGAGCCATCATTGCTGAATATTTTGCTGCATTTATTTTATTCTTCTCAGCATGACTAAGGCTCATATTTTTGGCAATTCGTGCAGCTTCCTCTTTTAGCATGTTGATACGCCTTACAACATCTGTTTTTCATAGAAGTTTTAGTTAAATGTCCTCAAAAAAGAATTACTGTAAGTTGTTTCAAAGACAAGCATTTAGTAATGCTGCACTGCAAGCCACATTTTATAGGGAAAACAAATTAGGCTCTGTTTCAAAGACAAGCATTAGTAATGCTGCACGAAAGGAATGCAAGCCACATTTTATAGGGAAAACAAATTAGGCTACATGAGTCATCTTATAAAGATGATGAATACATAATAGGTTGAATATAATTATAATTATCAAATATATGGAAGAATTGTTACTTTTGGATAAGCGGAGCATTTAATAATTCACACGCTCTGCTCTTCAAAGTTCTACACCAAAAGTCTCCCCTAGTTAGGCCCCGAATCCCTCCCTCTGGCACACGTGCGCACACATAAAGACATGCAGGCATGCAAGAGAAAAAAAATCCCCCTCTCCCTCTCCCCCTCTCCCTCTCCCTCTCATTATAAAAGATGCAGTGCAACTAAAAAGAAAATGTGTGAAATCATACAAAATGTAAATTATGTTATGCAGATAAATCCCAATTACCTGTACGAAGATCTTGTAGGGTACTCAGCCACTGTTCTTCCCATAAAATCGTTATGCTACCAAGTTCATTAATGACAAGCTTAACATCTTGCATTAACTTTGGGTACAAATTAAACTGCATCAGATGCTAGACACATTAGGAATTCAACACTAACTCTATTCAATTCAGAGAGAAGATAAATAACAAACTGTAAGCATAACAAAAAATAACTTGACAGACTTTAAAATGTTTGGTAAATTTACCAAATAAGCATGTATGTTCTGAAGCTCCTCGGAGAACTGACCTTCAAAACCATTGATATCAACCAACAAAGGATAAACTATAGACCAAGGAGATAGTTTGGCCAGGATCATTAACAGACCCTCAATCTGTTTCCTGACAACTTGTTGAGGATGCGAACTTAACCGAGCAAACAACTGGGGTGTAATTTCCTACGTAGAAGCGTTGAACTGATAAAGGTGAGACCTACAACAATTTTGACAACGAAAATGAAATCACATAATCCTAAAAGAACATCCTCACCCGCCATGGCAATGGAGAAACTGTTGCAAAGCCATGATTAAGAGTTTCTTCTAACTCAACGCCATAATTAAAAAGAATTACTAAAATATATAGTATTGCTCGGAGAGTGCAGCTCCTACTTTTTGCGATGGCATAGTCAGGATAAATGTCGGTACAATAGTTTTCTTTTGCTGCAGAAGATGAAAGTGAGAGGAACTGAAAATAGCCATGGGCAGCATTGCCGAATAATAATACTCTTCTCCGTCTCAGTGACCACCAAATATCAATTAATTCTTGAATATAAGTTGTCATGGCACTCCTCTCCATACCTGCAAATGCACGAAAAAAAAGTGCCTGCAATTCAGAGAATAGAACAACAGATGAACATTCACCATCAAATGATTCTAAGCCAGGCGCTCCAGCTGCAGCTTCCATTAAGTAAGTTGTTTCATGTACCAACGAATCAATAAAAACTTGATGTTCAGGATAAGAGGAGTCAAAATGTCTGCTTTCTTGGTCACTTCTGGCTGCCACATGACTTCTACGATGATAAATATCTGTAATAATAGATTTTACCTTAGACTTCTCATCTTTATTTAGCTGAAATATGACTGGTGAAGTTGCTTCACCGAGGATTGAAGATAAGGAGCATGACTTATAAGAAGAGACGGTCCCAGAAAGAGAGTTTGTGGCTTGGGTAAAACACCAAGCAGCATAAGAAAGCCATGCCTTTCCCATTTTTGGGCAAAGTTTGCAGGATAGCTTTACCGTGGAACCAATTATCTCCTCAACAACAGTATTCCACATCATGTCAGAGGTTTGACTACTATTGGCAGACAATAAAACCTCTTTGCTACGAATTGAGATGCCGTCTGCTTCACACAAAGTGAGATCTTCATGAATTTTAAAAACAACACTTGTCAAATTTATGTTTGAATTCTCTTGGCTCATCCAAGAAGAAAGTTTCAAGCATGCCCTGGCCTTCGTATTGGAAATGTTCACGAAGCCAAACGTAGTATTCGACCGAAAATCATCATGTATAAATGACCAAAGATCAAGTAAAGCTTCCTCAGGCTTTCCTGCTGCATACTTAAGTAGGATTCCTTCATACTGTAGATTCACATCAAGAAACTCAGCATGCTTATGCTCATACAAAGGATGTTCTTTTAAGTATTTGTTCATACGGTCAGCCAACATGAAGTTGCTCTGTTTCCGAGCCAAACTAAGCATTCTTTGACCGAGAAGCATTGTAACATAAGAAGTAGGCATTATTGTTCGATACGTCCGAAAAATTTTCATCCACAAGCTGCTGTCTTGATGCATTCTACTGATTGGAGAATGCAGCAATTGACATAATGAGCCCAATAATGATGGTAGTTGTTGACCACTTGACATCTTACTTTCTTCCAATGCAAGGACACAATGAAGCTGAACAGCAAAGGCAGCTGCCTCAGTTATTCCATCAAGTGGAATACAAGATAAGGCTTCATCTAGCATCAGCTTGGCCTTATCAAGGCCGTCATGCACCTTATTTGTGCCACCTTCCATTTGAAGCATCGACCGTAAAAGCATTTGTTCGCTCCTCTCTAATGCTATATTAGGATTAAGGGAAAGCTGAGAGCTGCTTTTAGGTGTCAAGTCAAGATAGCCCAATGCCGCTTGGACATCGCCTGCATCAAATCGAGCTAAGGCATGGATTGCATTCATTTCATTTCCTGCAGCCGTAAGAGCTCCTGCATACGGTTTGCCAGCATGCATAGAACGGAGTCTTTGTAGCTCTAAAAGCCAGTTTTCTAGGGACTTCCAATCAGATAGGGATGTATAGCTCTCAATCACACGAGCGATGATGAACTGGATTTCATCAGAACCCATTGAACTAAGTGCTTCCTCAGATTGTAGCAAGTGAGAGAAGTGTGCAGCAGCCTTCTCATACTGGCCCTGTGCCTGATAGATGAGACCCATCATCCAAAGTAAATGCATATCATTTTCATTCATACTAGTGCTAAGATGATAATCATCTGTAAACAGTGAAGGGAATGACATCCCAACCCATTTCTGCAGACCAACCAAAGTCTCAGGCTCATGACTCTTACATAGAGCCAATGATGCATATTGCAGAACCTTCAGTATATCTCCTGCAAATCTGCCTCGCAGGCTCTGAAAAGTTTCTGGTATCTCCTGAGTATTGTCCCGGAACGTAGATGCTTCCAGATTCTTAAGATCCTGCAGTCTTAATGAGCAGTAATAAAATGTTGCGTCGTGACAATTAAGCACCTGACCAGCAATCAACATTGGCTCGCAGATTCGAGAAAACCATTCCTCGCAAACCTTTTTGTTTGCTCGAAAAAAGAAGGAACTTTGTCGGGTTACATGCGGTAAAACAGCAGAACCTTCATAAGCATTGTATGCATTTTTCTTAAGGGCCTCAACAAAAGCTAGTAGTAGTCTCATTGGTAGCAAGTGAAAATTAGATGAGCCCAAATAATGGCCTTCACTCTGCTCAAAATCAAGCTGCAATATATTCGGTATGTCCAAAAGCATTCGCTCCAGTGCAGCAAATGTCTGTGTAGGACCACCAAGGTTGGTACGAAGACGAAGATTAATACAATACCTCGCAGCTTCATTTATGCCCCACCAAATGGCAGCCAGACTGTTTACTGGACATAGCTTCTGAAGAATTGATCCTTCTGACTTGACATCTTTATAAAGATCACTGGAAACTAGGTCTCCAACTACTTCTTCTTGATTAGAAAATCCATCATTCCTTCCACGGCAGCTGAAGACTAACCGCTGTATCCAAGAAGACAGAGGCATTTTCCATCTTTGTGAAATGTAACTCAAAACAGAAACAAACTGCTGAGAATGAAGCTTCTGAGGCATCTGCTTTAGCGCAAGATCTTCCCTCCAGTTCAAGTAGTGCCTATATGGTTTAGTGGAAGGCTTAAACTTGCAGAAATAACCACTCTCAGTAATACCATGCATGTAAATAAAAACAGGTACTGCAATAGAAATCAGTCGCAAAAATGCATTTTTTATGGTCACGTCTGGATCACTAAGTTTGCAGAGGACAACTTCTGAGACAACGGAAAAGTGTTTAGAATGAATAAGCCCAGCATGCAGGAGGAGTTCCAAGACAGGAGCAATATGAGATCTCACCTTCAGTTCCCTAGTAAATGCTGCATCTAGAATACAAAAGAGTAAGTTTGTACCAATAGTGGCATTTTGATATGGTTCATCAAAATACCTCATCAGCTGATCTTCCTCTTTCAGAGTTAAAATTATCCGGCTAAATGATTGGATCCAGCCAAGGGCCTCCATTTTAACCATCAGAGGTGAATAAACATTAAGGGCTCTTTCTATAAATCCACTGAATTTTCCGAAATACTCAGAAGTTAGAATATGCTGCTTATTCTTGGCCTCAAAGCTTGTTTGATCTTTATCGCTCAATTTAATTGAAGCTTTCTTCAAATATTTTGCAGTTTCATTAAACTTGACTCGGAATTGGACTTCACTAGATTCATGCAATGTCCTGATAACAATGGCTTGCAGCTCATAGAAACCATCAATGGGAAATTGAAAAGGATCAAACTTGTTGAGAATAAAAGATGTTACTCTAGATGACCTCTCACTTCTGGTAGCATCTGTGATCGTCTGGTTTTCAACACGTCCAGCAGCATCAACCGACATTGAACAAATTATCACCTTCAAATCAAATTTGATCAATGAAAGTAAATCAAGCTCTGAATATTGTCTCCCATGGCCTAAGTTTGTCTTGTGAATGTCACCAGTTCCAGTATCCAGCTGAATTGCACCAGAATCTACCATTGGTTGTTGAAGTTCTGCGAGTTTTCTTTTTAATAGTTCCAGCTCCTCAAACAAGGAGGTGACTGCCTGAGAAACAATGTTGTCACAATCATGCTTGAGAAAGTAAAGGTAAGTGGCAGCTGCGCTTGCAACAACAGAATGATTCGGGTGCAACCGCAGATGAGACAGAGGTGAGTGAAATTGCAGCAGAATCTGCACAGATGAAGAAAGGAGGCCCAGCTTTTGAAGAGACAGCAACTGCAAGTTTGTCTTCAGCAATCCAAGCACCTGATAGGAAGGAACTCCACTCAAGTTGTGAAAAAATATGTCAACAAACATAGGATAAAACTGGGAAAACTTCTCATTCAGTATTTCAGCCAAAATAATCAAACATCTCCAAGACCCCATCCATTTAGACCATCCAAACTTCCTTCCAAACATCAATATGCACCTCAACAACTGCGGAGTCAGGTTTTCAAGCGGTTCACTAATCTGTCCAAGGACATTCATCTCCAAAACGCCATTAGCAGTTGCCTGAAGAATTGCGGAGAAACAAGAGAAAAAAGAAAGCAACCTTCCAAGCTGTGACGCGGTCTCAACACTTACATCATGGATTAGAACTTCCGCATCACCCACAAGCTTCGATAATAAGCCTAAAGAAAACTGCAAATTACTTAGCCAATGGTTCTGAAACTGCAAGAAACTGTCACTAAGCAAGCATCTGGCAGAATCAGAGAGGTCGGGCATAAAAGCCCAACCTAGAAGCAAGTCCACCACATCAATAAAATGGGGCTGGAAACAGTGGGCAAATTTCAAAGAGACCAAAGTCAGAATACTCAGAAGCTGGTTCAACAAACTCAAAGAGGTTCTCTCATCCTCAAGCAGCTCCTGACAAGCTTTAAGAATAGATGGAACATATCTTTCAATGCCAACCGCATCCCCAGCGCTAAGGAACTGCCGAAGACTACTCATTGCCAATTCAGCCGAACCATTTCTAACGGGTAAGCCCTGAAGCAACGGAAGAACCCAAGCAAGAAACCTATCCACCAGAACCTGCACATGAACATGGACGTGGTTGGGAAGACCATTGGATGACAAAGCGGAAGAAGCCAATACCGCGCAGAGAGATGCGTAGGACATCGCCGCTGCCTGACAAACTCCATATGACCTACAAGCCATCGTTAGCAGAAAATCTCATCAGCCGAAAAAGTAAAAAAGATTGCATGAGACTCTGAGAAACGTTTACTTGTCTGATAGAAGCTGGGAGAGGCCCTGGGATAGGAAATGGGAGCAGTGCGGGAGAAGAAGGGCGTTAGGTGGGTATAAGACGGCGAGTCGAAGCGAGTCAAGGGCGGCGATGCGGGCTGAGTCGTCGATCCCTCTCCCGGATACCGCTGGTTCTAGAGAGGATTGGGAGGAGAGCGAATCGTTGGGGGGTTGAGGAAGGGCGGCGGAGAGTAGGGAGGTTAGCTGCTGCTGGAGTTGGTGGAGATGGCTTTGCATCATGACTGCGCTTCTCAACCCCGGCTAGTGTCTCCTGCTACGACGAATTCCCATTGCTTTCTTACTGAGAATCGAGGCAAAACAAGAAAAATGATCGAGGGGAGAGGGTGAAACCAATGAATGGGATTTTATACATAACACCCATGTTTTGCAAATGTTTGGTGGGTTGGGCCGGGAGAGGGGAGAGGGGAGAGGGTGAAACCAATGAAATGGGATTTTATACATAACACCCATGTTTTGCAAATGTTTGGTGGGTTGGGCCGGTCCGGGCGTGGTACCAGTCCGGATTGGACTGACCGGGCGGGAGCACTGCAACCAATCATCCTAGGATCACTCAAATCGTTATTCCAACCGAAAATCTAGAAAATTGTTCTCGATTTAAGAGAACGATTGACTGGCTCGTTAGCAATGCGATCTTCTCATCATCTATAATCGACTTGAAGCAAATTGTTTAGTTCTTCTGAATTTTTCTTTGTCATGGAATAAAACTATTCAATGTCATTTATGAGGCATGTCTCACCGCGAGAAGAGCAAGAAAGGTATAGAGGAGTCGTCAATGAATGGAAACAATTCGTACAAGGGCTTTGCATGAGGAGTTTCCAATGGATAAGAAGGCATTGGATGCAAAGTCAATGATGGAGCTTTGAGGAAGTGGATGATTACACAGTGGGCAACGATTTCCTGAACACCGCGCGTAAGAACCAAAAATTTATATTACCATGCAATTTTTCTTTCCTTTTTCTACTACTTCCTAATTCAAATTCTTGATTTACTTACTTTCCTTCCTTATCATTGCCTTCTTTTATTTATGATCTTTTCTTTTCTTCTTCTCGTCTCTCCTGCTACCTTCTTGATTTGTGTGATTGAACCATTACCTCGATGCTCTATAAAAGAAAATGCTAAAGGTCTCCTATCGATCTCCCTCCTCTCTCTCTCTCTCTCTCTCTCTCTCTCTCTCTCTGTCTCTCGATTTCACCCAAAACTATCACCATGGTGGGGTGGTGGAGCTTGGGTGGTCACCATCTGATTGTGGGAAGTCAGTGGTGGAGGGAGTTAAAGTTAATTGGGTTGTGACAAGTGTCCAAGGGTTGAATTGAAAAGGAATGGGGGGAAGGTGTTTTTGGGTTTGACTTTGGTTTGAGCCGTGGAAAGGGGCTTGGCTCGGGTTTGGATTGATAGGTCCCAACCATGGGGATTATGGTTTAATCATGGGTTCAAGTGAAGTGTCGAAGTGGTTGAGTGCTTTTAAGTGGTCTTCAAAGTGGGTCCTCCATTAGCCATAAGTGTTATGGTGGCTTGCATGAAGCTCATGCATGGCTCCTTTGCTTCCCTGTGGCTTGGATAAAGCCATAAGGCTTGACTAAGGCTCATGCATGACCTACATGGGGGGGTGATTTCAAGCTCTTGAATAGATTTTCATGGGTTTCATAATTAGTCAATTTAATCATTAAATTTTCCACCATAGGTTAAATTAAATTTGATATGGGGAGACATTTTTGTATGTGAGCTTTTGTTTTAAATGAATTTGGCATTTGGGCTTGGTTTGGTTAGCTTTGGAAATGGGTCATGAGGTATTAGTTTGGGCTTGCATGATGGATTTTGGGTTTAGGTTTGATGGTGTGGAAATTTCTCATGATAGACTTAGTGAAGTTTTGAAATTGTCATGATGGAATTTTAAACTTAAGGTTGGTGGATTTAGGATTTGCATGTGATTTTAAATTTGGTAGATTTTGGTGGATTTGGGTGGATTTGGTTTAAAATTGCTTTTGGGCTTTCAATTGTGGCTCATGGGGATTTTGAAGGTTTGAAGTTAATTTTGGTCGGAGAGTGGTTCATGAGTGGTGTAGTGTCATGTGTGAGTGTGGATATGATGTGAATGTAGATGTGTGTGTATGTGTGAATGTGCATGTATAAGTGTGTGTGGAGTGAATGTGTATGTGGTGAATTATGCGGTGAATCATGCATGGCATTCTAAAGGGATTAAACCCTACGTCACGAAGGGTTTTTTTATGGTATTACCAATTTTTATAAGAACTCAATCTGAGCTTCAAAATGTTGGTTCTAATCAACTCAATCAAGTGGTTGAGGATTTGAAATCAATAAAGGGCTTGAATTTCTAGTTGGTATGAGCCTCACCAGTTTGCACTGCTCGACTCCCCTTCAGAAAACCCCAGATGAATCCTTCCTCGGTGAACCACTTTTGTTGCTCCTTTACCTCAACATCAAACACCTGATCATGAGCCTCTTGAACACGATCTCGAATGATAGTCTTAAACTCAAGAGAGTTCTTATCCTCAATCGCTTTACGCTTAACTTCTGAGACATCAACTTCTTTTGCGGCCCTCAAAAGTCAGATCTCCTCTCTCCTCTTCTTGGGCTAACACCGTCAACTAAAGGGCTTCACGTTCTTATTACTTTCACAAAAGTTGGCTCGTGCTTCAACCAACCCCTCCCGAGTTCTCTCCAGATCTTGAAGCTGCAACGAGAGGGAAGTTGTCATTGTTGAAAGTTTTGTCCTGCACTCTGTCAACTGTGATTCCAAAGATGTAATTATTTCAACCTTGAATTAATATCGACGCTTGTACTCGCCTTAAAAATATTTGATATTAACAAACTCGGAATTTCAGTTTCTCAATGCCAGTCCTAACCCCTTTTGGGCTTCCACCATACTATCCACTTAGAAGAAAAGAAATCTGGGTCAGAAGATGAAATAATTATATAGTAGCAGAAGATGAAAGAAACTTACAAAACTCTTGGCTTCCAGGAGCCCATTACATTCATGATATAAGATATTCTCAGGAACGTGAATAGTTGAAGGGCAATTACATTCATGATACAAGATATTCTTAGGAACGTGAATAGTTGAAGGGCTTGGCAAGGGCTCCCGTGATGTTTCGACCTTCTTTTATTTTTGAGGCAAAACTTCACAGCACTGCTCATTGGGAGCCGCTTTAATGATTCTGCGAGGGTTGGCTCGGAAGGTCTCTTCTTAGATTTCCTTAATACTATAGCAGTAGACCGTTCGGGGAGGAAAGAAAGCTTAACCTTGAATAATGATTCTTCACTCACAAATTCGTAAATATAATGTGTCTCGAACAACAGATCCTTTAAGTCACGAAATCCCAACATCTGCAATATTCCTTCCTTAGTAGTTTGAAGAGAGACAGACAATTGTTGAAACCTTCCTCGTCTCTCGCGGAGCCCTCAATCATTTTGTGCAAAAAAGAATTTCACGGACCATTGTCTCATCGATTCCTTTAGGCGGAAATCCAACATCTTATGCTTAAACATCACACAATCATGTGTATCGCTAAAGAGCCCGCACATCCATGCCAAAATTACCGGTGTTAACATCGACCCACGACTCTTGAAGATAACAATTAACCCAATAATAACTGTCACCACCAGACAAGACAATTGGGCAACGCAAACTCCGAACGCCTTCATAACATCAATAAACTTGGGTGCCTACGGAAATCTTAAACCTGCTCTCAAGGCTGCCTCATGAATAGCAACATACGCAGCTCTCCCTCAAAACTGACACAACATCCTCTGGTTCTCAGCAAAACGGGGTTCTACAGTTGTTGTCATTTCTGCGACAGTACACAGCAACGCTGCGCCGCAACTCTGTCCAGCAACTATGCGCCGCCCCTCTTCATGCAACTCTTCGTCGTAACTCTGCCCCGCAACTCTACGCCGCAACTCTTCACCGCTACTCAGGACAATTTTTCTTATGTCCAACAACTATGCTTAAACATCACACAATCATGTGTATCGCTAAAGAGCCCGCACATCCATGCCAAAATTACCGGTGTTAACATCGACCCACGACTCTTGAAGATAACAATTAACCCAATAATAACTGTCACCACCAGACAAGACAATTGGGCAACGCAAACTCCGAACGCCTTCATAACATCAATAAACTTAGGTGCCTACGGAAATCTTAAACCTGCTCTCAAGGCTGTCTCATGAATAGCAACATACGCAGCTCTCCCTTAAAACTGACACAACATCCTCTGGTTCTCAGCAAAACGGGGTTCTACAGTTGTTGTCATTTCTGCGACAGTACACAGCAACGCTGCGCCGCAACTCTGTCCAGCAACTATGCGCCGCAACTCTTCACCGCAACTCTGCCCCGCAACTCTTCACCGCTACTCAGGACAATTTTCTTCTTCTGAGAAATCCCGGATCAGCTGGGGACTCCAACTCTATCCACTCAATCAGACCCTTATTTATAGACTTCAAAAGAGATTTAAACATTAATGATCATCATTATAGACTTAAAAAGGAAGTGAAAAATTAAATATTAGTCATTAAATAGACTTCAAAAAGAAGTAAAAAATTAAATATTTATTATTAAATATGCTCAGAAAGATATGAAAGCATTAAATGACACGAAAAATAAAGAACACAACTTTTCATCTCTAAAAAAAAAACCTTTTCATTTTCCAAGAGAAAAAAGAAGTAATAATTAAAAAAAATCAAATCAATTTTCTCGAATTCCATGAAAAATTCGGGCTCCCCAACTTTTCAGCTTTCTAGCTCTAAATATAAAAATTCTATATTTTGTCTAAAGCAGGATTTGAATCTTGCCAACCTCTCATGAAGTAGAAGACCTTACCAACTGAGCTATCTTCAACTTCTTAATATATAAGAAGAAAAAATATTCTTATATCGATACTAATAAAATAATATATATACAATACTTAAATGCTTTAAATTTTGATATTTTCGGACGATAAAAATGTTTTCGCCCAAAAATAGGGGGGCAACTGATACGACATCAATAAATTTCATCATTCTGCACGAAACTCGAAGCAGGACACAGATCCCAAGATGATATTTTGAACAAGAAACATTCAAATCTTGATAAAAACTCATCTAGAGCTCTAATTTCAGCAAACTTATAATCAAACTGACCAGCTCGATGAGACGAATCTAATGATATAAAAACTAGTCCAATATGTGTCAAATCAAGCTCAGATCAAGTCATTAAACCACCCTTAGAAGATTTTCGGACACATTTAGAAAGTCAAACGGTTGTCAAATATGACAAGTTTATACTCAAATCGAGCGGCTCGATAAGACAAATCCAACAAGCCTAAGATCACTCAATTATGACATTATTAAGACACTCAAATGTCCATTAAACGCTATATGATCGAGGGAAGCTCTCTGAACCGTCCGATCAAAATGGCTCATATTCTAGCATTAATTGCACCCAGAACACTATAAATAGAGTCTCATCCCTCTCATGAAGGGGAAAAAAGTCTAGAGAGAGCCCAAAGTTTTGAGGAGAAACTGCAGCTCAGCATCACCATTAATAGTCGTCGACCACCACCGACCTCCATCGTCGATCACCGCCGATCTCCGTCATCGACCGCCAACGACCACCGCCGATCACCGATGACCAGCGCCGACCTTCGTCGCCACCGCCGACCCCTACCGACCGTCGTCAACCTCCACCTACCGTCATCGATCACCACCAACCAGACGCAGTCAGTAGACGTTGTACCTTAAAAAATATAATTACCCTTTCCCGTCTGTGGGATAATGAATTTCTGTAATCATCAATCAATAGTGGATTTCCGCAACTGGACCAGACCCCGTGGTTTTTCCCTTACGGGTTTTCCATGTAAAAATTTCTGGAGTCATCACCGTTTTTTTCTATTTCATCTGTTTGTGCACTAAACTTTCATACAACGCTAAGACAATAATTTGTTTACACTACCACCGTGAACCACCACGAATTTCTTAGCACGCATCAATTCTATTGTTATTTTGGATTTTTCTGTCTATACGTTGACGAGTCTGCAACTATTGCATGTGCTCTTTTTTTAAAGCTTTTGAATTTAGACGCTTTTGTTTTGTTTTGGAAATCTATGTAGGCGATCACCCCTAGACCTTTTGTATATGCTAGTCCCCATTTGCGGCGATAAAGTTTGTCTTCCTTTTGCTTGCCTTTGGTATCCATGGTCTTTGGATGATAGAAACATATAAAACACAATCAGCATACATTTTGATTTTTTTCTCGAGTGAAGCTTTACACCCACTTATACGTGTTTACGTATTATACATATTGGTTTTGTGTATTCAGCCTCCTGGAAAGAATACAAATGCTTATTCTCCCATTTATAGAAGCTTAACATGCTTGATTTGAGAAGTACTACACTATTAGTATTCTCTTGATTGATTTTTCTAGTCATCGCGGCACATTCAGAACCCTTCGCATTTTGGCCTCTGCTCATGCTTAAACTTTTCCTCATTTGTTTGGATAAATGCTATGTCGAATGGTCTAATTATTGCGTGCAGAGAGCTGCGTGTGCTCTCCGATCCCTGCCGCACATCACGAGTGGGTCTCACTGTCATACAGCCGCGATGCGCGGCTGTGATCGGAGAGCGCACGTAGAGCTGCGCACTCCGCATGCAATAATCGCTCATGTCGACTGGATGGGGATTTGCAATGATTTGCGTGCAAGGAACGCTATGCTTAATTATTTAACCATTATTTTATTTGTTTATGTTGTCTTCCAACTGTTCTCCCTTTCCTCTTTTAATACACATGTTATAATTTTTAATCTATGTAATTGTAGTTGCTTTTTGAACTTATGCAACCCCATGCTTATGAGTGACACGTTGGGCAGCTTCTTCGGAATTCCTGAAGAATTCCACAGGGACTGTATGACAATGGATCCAATAAATCCAGTTGAAACTTGTGAAAATATTTGACAACTTATGTGATATTTGTTATAATAAAATTATAATAAAAAATCATAATTAAAATTTGATTATTTTATTATTATCATAATAAATAATTATTTAATTAAAATTTTATTTCTTATTATACAAATTAATAATTAATTATTCAAAAACTAATTAATTAGCAAAAACTATTAAAGTAATCACATTTTAAACAATTATTTAACATGAATCAATGATTAATTTATAATTAATAATATATTTTAAATTGATTAACTATTAAGTAATTTAAAATTTAAATATATATATATTAGTAATTGATTATTAAATAATTATATATTATATAGTCGTAATTAAATTGATAATATATTAATCAAAAAATAAATTTAAATTAATTAAATTAATAAAATAAAATTAAATAAAACTAGACTACAGGCGCAATCCCATTTCCCCTGCGCCCCTGTGCTGGAAGAGCAAAGATTGCCTAAACCCTCGCGGCCTTGCCTACATCGTTCCCCTTCTCCGGTTTCGCCGAAGTCCCTTCTCCCTTTTACATCCAAAACCCTCGCCTTCATGACCAATCCCTGGCGATACAATCTCAATTAGAGCTAACTGGGAAGGCGACGGAGGGATCGCGGCGTACAGAGACCCAAAACTTCCATTTTTCTTGTCCTTCCGCGCTGCTCCTACCCGAAACCATGGAGGCACATGGAGGAAGGCAACTTCATATCTCCCTTTTCGCGCGGATTGCCCTTCCCGGATTTACTAAATCCGCCCATTCGCAGGATTTAGTAAATCCGGATTGATGAAACCCGCAGTTTTATTTTCTCCAAACTGACCGTCTGGAAGGATTTAGATCAAATCCTGTATAAACCCTGCTTTAAATATCCTTTGCCAGACAGCACATTAATGTTTTTGCTAAAAAAGATTCGACTTTTATCCCCTTTCTTTTTCTCCCTCTCTTTGAAATCACACGCGAAACCTCCATTCTGTATGCCGCTGCGGACAATCGATAAAGGCGCATTTTTTTCGAGTCCTCATCTCCTCCGAGAAAGTTGGCTCGAATTTAGTAGGCAATCCTCTTCTTGTGCTGCTCCTGAGTCCACGAAGCTTCTTCTTGACAACGTAGCTCTTGGTATTGGCAGTCTGGATGACATGGAGGCCAGTCTTGAACAAATGAACATTAGGATTTCCCCTGAACTAGCCACCCAGGTCATCCATTCTTTCAAAATCCTTCCTGCCTCAACTAGTATTGGCAGTGGCAGAAGCAGGAGCAGAAGACTTCTTCGTTTTTTCATTTGGTTTCTTCGCAGGAGTCATGAGGGCTTTGGGGACGTAGTTTTCAATTGCGCGATCCAGGCATTTGCAGAGATGAAGGATCTGACTGCCATGGGCATTGCCATTTCTGAGCTTCAGAAGTTGGGATGCAGGATGGATGCTGAAACCTTTGTCATGGTGGCTGAGACTCTTGTCAAGGCCGGTAAGGCGGATGAGGCTATTCTCTTGTTCAGGAACACGGTGGAGAACCAGATGCCATGTATAGACGGCACCTTTTCTTTCATCGCAGCTATTGTCCATGTGCTTTGCAGCAAAGGATATGCAAAGAAGGCTGAAGGTGTTGTTTGGAATCATAGGGACAAGTTAAAGGAGGAGAATATTGGGATCATTTACCGGAGCCTCCTTCATGGATGGTGCATCTATGGGAATGTGAAGGAAGCCAAGAGGATTTTAAAGGAGATGAAATCACGTGGGATTGTTCCTGGTTTGGCATCATACAATGACCTTCTTCGCTGCATTTGCTATCGAAATCTTAAGCTCAACCCATCTGGTCTTGTCTCAGAAGCAACAGATTTGATGATGGAGATGAGATCCTCTGGTGTCACCCCAACCATTGTTAGCTTCAACATTTTGTTGTCTTGTTTAAGTAGAGCTCGGAGGGTGAAGGAAGCTTGCGATATTTTTTCTTCGATGATGCAAGGGGAGGTGATATCTTCCCCAGATCAGGTCACATATTATTTAGTTATCAGGGTTCTTTATTTGACAAAGAGGATTTGTAGAGGCAATAGAATTTTGGATCAGTTGATTAGGAATGGAGTGGTGGTTGAAGCTCGGTTCTTCCATAGTTTGATTGGCCTTCTTTGTGGAATCGAAGAAGTAAATTGTGCTTTAGAAATGTTTGAGAAGATGAAATGTCAATGTAGGGAGAGCATGGGACCAACATATGATTTGTTGATAGAGAAGCTTTGTAGAAATGGAAAATTTGATGTAGGAAGGTGTCTTTATGATGAGGCTATAGAGAATGGCGTTGTTCTCAAAATTTCTAGCGATTTACTAGATCCCTTGAAGATACAAGTGTTTAAGCCAACAAGATCACAAGAAAAGCTCATCCTTGGTAAGTACAAGGGCAAGGTATTGTTTGGACGAAGATATGGCACCAATAGATCAAAAAAATAAGAATTAAGGCTTCATTTGCTGATGTGTGTTTTTTTGTGCCTTTTGGACTAAGTTTTTGATTGTTATTGTGAAGATGTATGTGCTCCTGCGTGTTAACTGCTATTGCGAAGCTATGAAGAGGGGGCATCAGCAGGAGTATGAGATTGTGTTCTATGTTACCCAAAACTGTTTTGTATATGTTTTTGAAAGTAGTATAGAAGCACAAAATTATCAGATGAAGTTTATTCTAGAATCACAACATTATCAAATGAAGCTTAAGCCAATTTGCATTTGGCAAATTTTTTTTTTAGATTTGCATTTTATATTGCGAATGCCATAGTTTGATTTTAAATGCTTTATGATGTCCTGCAAATATATTGATAGAGTACTATAGTGGTGCATTTGGTCGGAATCTCGTGCTATTGTTATGACCTTTTTGTCAGCATTTGATTTTATAGATGGCCACACGTTTAGAAATGGAATGCATATCTCAATGACTAACTAGTATTGAAATGCGCAAAATGGACGAATTATTGAACATGGTGTTGCATTTTGTCGCTTCAATAAGCGCTTTAACCACCTTTAGGAGATGGATTCACCATGTCTTAATGCCATCTTAGAGGCATTGTACTTAATGATATCGGCAACACTGTTGTAAATGCCACTAGCTTTGATCTAGGTGATTGAACTTCGAGGGATGCACCCCATTGGGATTGCACTCAAGAAACTCTCAGAGTATGATACTTATATTCCATTATTGACATTTAACTTAATTCTACATGCGGTTCTGCCAGCCAAGCTAAAGCTGTCACAAATAGATCGTTACAAGGGGTTGCAGACCCTGCTTTGAAGATTCTAACATTGACCTCTATCTTTGGCTACACACATTGCTACATTTTTGTCGCCACTCTAAACAATGCTACAAAGTGGTGGTTTGTCAAGCTATGCTTAATAACATCAAATGTTTTAATGGACTATTTCATCATTTTATTGTTGAATTTGTCACTTATGTAATACTTAAGGCCTCAAGTCGGGAGGAGGGAGCTCTTATGGGATTATGTGTTCAGGTTAACCTCTACATCTCATGAGGCAGTTAACTTGAAGCTTGGGTTGGCCAAGAAGAAGAAGGAGCATGTCGAGGGTTTCTCGTGCCAGATTACCGTCGGCTCATCCCTGGCTACCGAGAGATTCGTGGAACTTAAATTATTCGATCATAAGTGCCAGGATATGGAGGAATTTAACATGCTCCTTTCGAATCCAGAGGACGAAGAGGAGGAATCTTAAAACTAGAAGTTTGATGATGTTGGGGGTGCAGAAGAAATCAGGGAGGAGGATGTCGGAGAATCCTCAAATGTTAAAGGTTGAAGCGGTCTTTTTTTTGTTTCTTTTTTTTGTTTTGTCATTTAGACGTGTTTGTAAGGAAACATATGATTCAGACTTTGTAAATGAACTTCAAGATATAGAGAATTTCGTTAAGCTGGAGGCTTTGATACCTATGCTTTCTTTCTTTCATCTAATGATTGTTCAAGTTTATGGGTGGTTTGTTGTCTCCCGTGAAATTTTGGCAATTGTATGGTCTGAGGCTATTATACGAGTCCGAGCATCCCTCATGCGCCTAAGAATTCTAGTACCACACCCTACACTCGGGGGGAATCGAACCCCAAACCAGAGGAGAATTACAACTGACAAGCAGATGGTCGAGCAACATCTGAGTACGTGATGCATATATATATATATATATATATATGGACTTACAAGTGACCCTCCCCCCCCCCCCCCTTTGGGGAGCTTGTCGTTGTTGGGCTTTGGACGATCGCTTTCGTACCTCAAGTGAAGCTTATCCTTATTGGATGTCGAAAAGCCTACTATCAATCGTTACACACCCCTGGCGAAACTTGTTGTTGTAGGGTGTTAGCACTATGGTTGTGCTTAGGATGATCGTTTTCACACCTCTCGCGGAGCTTGACATTGTCGGTTGTTAAAACTCCCTATGAGCCACTATAAATTGTTGCACACCCTACGTGGAGCTTGTCATTATCGGGTGTAAGTGCTATGGTTAGGCTTATGATGATCATTTCACATCCCTCACGGTGCCTGTCACAGTCGGGTGTCAAAACGTCCTATGAGCCACTATCAATCTTTACACACCCTTCGTGGAGTTTGTCGTTGTAAGGTGTTGTTAGTGTTATGGTTGGGTTTAGGACGATCATTTTCTGCACCCCTCATGGAGCTCATCGCTATCGGGTGCCAAAACGTCCAATGGGCCACTATCGATCGTTACACACTTCTTGCGAAGCTTGTCATTGTTGAGGGTTAATCGTTATACAGACCGATCAGTTTTTAACTTTTTGTAGTGCTGGTTCCTCGAGCGTAACAGTGTCAGATCCTTGAGAATAAAGAAAATTTTGCAACAAAAAATAATATTAATATGTATTTTACTTATAATTTAGAGCGCATGTATTAAAAGAAGGGAAATAGATCATACAAAACAATCATAACTTAGTTTCACCCAAAAGTTGTCATGAAAATTTATGGGAGGAATTTCTTTAGATCATCACAGCTCTAAGTTTGAGGGAATTTGTTTCCTGTGAATGTCTTGAATTTGCATGATATAGGGGTCATCCTAGGTGTGATCTGTTAGGTATGACTCATATATCAGAATTTGGAGTCTCTTGAATTTAAAGATGTGTGTCTCTTGGAACGAAGAGGACACTCAAATTTTGGTATATGAGCCATGCCTTACAAATCTCCACCTTGGCGAATATCCAGTCTCTTAGGAGAAACACATATACCTAACAAATCTCCACCTTGGCGAATATTCAACCTCTTATGAGAAATACATATATCTGACAAATCTCCACCTTAACGAATATTCAGCGCCTTAGAAGAAAATATATCATGAAGCTTCTTACACCGAAATGGGTTGGACAATCATGTCGTCTAACAATTGCAAACATTCAACAAGTTCAAACAATGCAAAAAATGTTGATAGTATCTGGCTTGGTCAACATATCTGCTGCATTTTCATCATATGATTCAACAGAGTGAACTCCACCTATAAATGTACTCTCTAACAATTTATAGATATTACTTGCAATGATCTTTTCTTTCATCACAGTCAATGCACCTTTAACAATTATGATGATTTCTTTATCATCATCTATCTTTTATCCTCATCTATCTTAGGAATAAAATCATTTTTGTGTAAAGTGTTCAAGGAAATTAAATTCTTCTTCAAAATCTGGAATGTCTTACATCACATAATGTTCTAACAGTGTCATCATACATATTAATTCTGATTTTGTCAATACCAACAATATTGTAACATCTATCATCAACAGTGTCATCATACATATTAATTCTGACTTTGTCAATACCAACAATATTATAACATCTATCATCACCCAAATAGACTGAACCAGAATCAAATAACATGTACCATGTAAACAATTATCTGTTAGGTGTTATGTGATAAGAGCATCCTGAACCAAGAATCCATGCATCCTTCAACTGAATTATTGTAACTGAAAGTACATCACCATCACTGCAATCTCAATTGTCACTTTGCACCATATTCACAGACTTTGAAGATATATCATGTTTCTCATCAAACAGCTTCTTGAGCTTTGGACAATCTCTCTTCATATGTCCTGACTCCTTGCACTTGTAGCAATGAATCGTCTTTCTGCCTTTAAGCTTTGACCTGGAATTTTGCATTCCAAAACTCTCCTTCTTCCTTCCATGATCCTAATTACCCTTAGCATATAAACAATTATCATGAGAGTTTTCCCCTGCATTTTGCTTCCGCTGGTTGTGAGCCAACAATGTTATAGTAATCTTATCAATTTTGATTGTTTATTTCTCATATGTAAGAATAGTCACCAGATGTTCATAGGAGGAAGAAAAAGAACACAACAAAATCATTGCTCGATCTTCATCCTCAGTACTCACATCAAGCCGTGTCAGATCTGTGATTATTTGATTGAAGACATTCAAGTGTTGCGCCATATCAGTTTTTGCCTGCATCTTCAGTCTATACAGTCTTTGCTTCAGACAGTTTATTCATCAGAGATTTGGACATAAATTGATATTCAAATTTCTTCCATACTTCTCCTAGAGATTTCAGATACATAACATGATACATAATCTCATCTATCAGACATAAATCTATGGTACATGTCGCTCATAGTTTCAATTCTTCACAATCTTCATCTTCCATATTATCAGGTTTCGCAGCTCGCAAAGCCTTCATAATTCTTTATAGTGCCAACAAATCTTTCACCATTGTTCGACACAATTTGAAGTTCCCGGTTTCATCGAACTTCACTATCTCGAATTTTGCACTTGACATTGCTATTTGAAATTAATCTTGCAGCGAACTTTTTCTGCCTTGTGTCGAAACAAAACACACCACAAATAAATTCAAAACCTGAATTGTTTCTGTTAATTGCAACAATTTTCCTGCAATTCTGCTGTGATTCGTAAATCAAAATTTTCACACGAACCATTTTTCCTGTTCGCGTTAACACCTCAGCTAAACTGTTGTCTCGCGACCGAAACCCTTCTCATGTTCGCAAAACACCTCGTGCCTGTTCACAAAATACCTCTGCAAAAATGCTATTCGCGAATAGTCGCACCTGCTCGCTTCGCCTGTACCCTGCCGAACTCCACGTCGTAAATACTCCTGTGACAAACTTGCGAACCTTCCATTGGCCGAACTCTTTTGTTCGCAAAACGAGCTTGCGAACTGTCGGCGGCGGAACTCCTATGTTTGCCACCAACTCCTCTCATCTGCGAAACCGAACTGCCGCTAAACCACCTCAGAAATTTCTGTTGCACTGCTTGCAAACTGCTCCTTCGCGAACTCCTCCGGATCTTCCTCTGTTGAATTGATCGCGCATGTTCACGAAACCTTCAAATCTCCTTTCTCGAATTCGCCTATGTCGAATTCTCTTGTGTCGAATTTGCCTATCCCAAATTCGACCTTCGCGACTCATTCTGTCTGTGTGCGCGAAGCCTGCTCGAATTCGCAGGCAGAAGGAGCTCTTGGTATGAAATTCGAACTTGCAGGCAGAAGACCTTCGCGGCTTCTTCTACTCAAACTCGTAGTCTAGTGTCCGCTCGAATTTCGCTGGAAGTGCCGAACTCCTTTCGCAAAATACTGAGGCCCTCGAGAACACCTCATGCCAAGATTCGCCTCTCTGAAGCTTGCTCAATCGTGGGAACTGCTTGCGATCTGTTTGTCGTGAACTTCCTTCTGTAGATCTCGCCCGGTCGCCTTCGATCTCAACTCCGAAATTTTTCTTTCCTGTCTGCCCAATAACCTCGCTCTGATACCAATTGTTAAGAGATTTAGAGTGAAGAAAACAGGAATCGACACAAAACCAGAAGAACACAATGAAATTTAATGAGGTTCGGTAAAGATGCCTATGTCATCGGGAGCAGAGCGGGGAATTCACTATTTCAGAAAACTTCGGTACATACTCATAGCGTTACACATCATATTTATAGATAAAACTCACAGATAAAATTACTAACAAGTCATCGCTCCCCCCAACACACTAAATTCCAAAAGACACCTCTTCAATTCCAAAATAGTGAATTCGCCGCTCTACTCTCATAGACATAGGCATCTTTACTAAACTTCTTTAAAATAGTGAATTCGCCGCTCTGCTCCCGATGACATAGGCATCTTTGTCGAACCTCGTTAAATCTCGGTGTGTTCTTCTGGTTTTGTGTCGATTCCTATTTTTTTTGCTCTAAATTTCTCAACATGATATATTTTCTCGATAGTCTGCCCCATTGCGGCTAGGTCGACTTTCTTCAACACCAGGTCTCCAGGGGCAAACGCTTCCTCATGAGCATGCTTGTTGAAAAAAAATCATTAAAACTATAAGGCAACATGGTTAGACAGATGAAAATTGTAAATGATGCGAACAATGCATTGGGTGCTGGTGACTATGGTTGTAAACGAGCATAGCTTAAGCGAGCTCAGGTTTGACTCATGCTTGGTTCAAAATTTGCACCAATTCGTTGGAATTGAAGGCGTAGAATCACATACTCATGCTAGCTGGATAGAATCAAACAAAGAGATGTTCATGTTCGACTCATTTACTTAATGAATGCTTCGAACACATGTTACTTAATGAGTCGAACATGAGCTGTTCGTGAAGAATGAGCTTTTTTTACAGCTATAATGCTGATAATGAGTGATGCTAAAAAAAAAGGTTATACGATAATGTTATTATAAAAATTTTGATCACGGTAGATCTCAATGCTCTTCAATCTGTTTTGACAGTGTAACATAAGTAAGAAATATTATACTAATCTTTAGGTAGATACAATGATTTTGAGATTTTTTGCTATCATTTTTTTTTTCAATTAGAGTATTTGATATATATTTTTAATGACACTAATAACTAGTCAGATTTGTTTAAATTCAAGAAATTTTTGTGCGCGTTTAGTATTTCACATCACATTAAAAGTAACACTATCATTATTTTTTAAAAGTGAAATGTTTTTTATTTATAAATCTATGACACGAAGATATTGTAATTGTAGATATCAAATTTCATGTGTTTAGGGTTTATACATACATAAAAATTGTTTGGTATGCGCGTAAATTTTCCTTTATTGAAATTTAAGTAGTCATCTCTAATGATAATAATATGTAACTTTAAATTACTTGAACATGGAAAAAAAAATCAAACTTCAATCATTTATAGATTTAAAACCTAAACTTGATCATCCACTCACATGCCACTCTATTTTTAAGTAGCATCAAAATATCATTTTCCTCGGCCTTATAGCAAACTTTCGTCAGCAATGCCCTTGTGACAGCCCAAATTCTCACCCGTTAAGGTATTGCCGGTTTTGGCCAAATGGTCTCAAGATTTTTACCCGATTAGTATAACTTTTCAAGAGGTCATCCATCTTAAGAGTGCTCCAATGCAGACATGCTTAACTTTGGAGTTTATCATAAAAGTTCCAACCGCAGCAAAAGGTGTCTCGTTGTTTAAGAATTCAACTTCAATCTACTTAAAGGGTTTCACAATATCCTCCACTTAAGTAACTAATTTCATCGTTAGTACTCTATACCCATAATCAACCACTAGGTAGATGAGATTTCAGAGGTGGAACCTATATATTCAAAAAATGGCTCTTATTATGTAGCATTTTTTCTCATTCACTGTTCAAGAGGTGGCTCCCAAACATAGCACATTGTTTTGTATGGCACATAGTTCCAATTTTTTGATTGATGTATGCTCTGAGACCATTTGTGATAGTCTGAACTCTCACTCATTAATATACTGTCTGTTTGGCATAATGACCTCACGATTTTGTCTCGTTGGTGACTTCTCAGGAGGCCTAATTTTGATCACTCATAAACTACTAAATTCCTCGCTTATGAGATGTTTAATAAAATAATTTGCGTAACACTTAAGCATGATTTAACCTAAAATCCTACCAAACAACTAAAAATGACAAATTTAAAATATACAAAAAATTAATATCAAGTATTTATATTTCATATTTGATACGAGCTATCATGGAACTATCAACAAATAAATTAATATTCTACTTAATTAAATTTTATTTAAATAATATATCATACATATCAATATCAAGTATTTAATAAGTTATTTGTTGAACAACAAATAAGTTTGCTCGTGAACATAAATGAACAAATTTGATTATATTCATCTTTAGTTCATTTAAGCTTTGAGCTTTTAAAAATTATTTAAGATTGTTTATTTACCAATTTAAACGAACATGATCTAGCGTTAATTTAGTTGTGTTTGAGTTGTTCATCGAGTACATTAATTCATTTACAAGCCAAGATACAATTCACACCGATCCACGCCATCTGCACGTCACAATGAACGTAATATTTTCTCCATTACCTCATAAAAAACCAGAGCTGAATACCTAAACAAAAATGGATAAATCATCGAACGTGCCGTTGGCGCCTGTCCAATGACGGTCCAAATGCGGCTGCGCAATCATGGATTGCACAACAACTCATCCGAACAATCATCTACCAAAATTAACAATTTGATGCTCAAGAAACCCTAGGCTGCTGCGGCGGCGGCTGCTGTTCCTGAAACCTCGATCGAATCCTCGAGAGCTGCTCGACGATCTCCCTGGCGTCGGGCCGATCATCCTTCTCGCCGGCGACGCAACGGAACGCGAGCTCTGCAACTGACTCGATGCTCCTCATCTGAGCATCCTCTCCCGGCGGCGAAATCATCGCCGGATCTACAACCCTCCTAAGCTCCCCCACTTGTATTCTCCCCACCACCATCTCCGCCAGAGATACCTCCCTCTTATCCCTCCTCGAGTCCACCGCCTTCATCCCCGTCACCAGCTCCATCATCACCACCCCCAAGCTGTACACATCGCTCTTCTCCGTTAAACGGAACGTTCTATGGTACTCCGGATCCAGGTAACCCGGAGTTCCCTGCGGCCCCGTACAGCATCCATCTTCTCCCTCCTCTCTTCCCATTGCTCCTCCGCGACCTCCGGCGGCCGCCGTTCCGCCGGCGAGGAGGCGTGACAAGCCGAAGTCCCCAACCTTTATGCGCATATCACGCTCGATGAAAATGTTGCTCGATGTAATGTCGCGGTGGACGACGGGGGGTTTAAGGGCAAAATGTAGGTATTCTAGGGCAGCTGCAGTTTGGATCGCGATGTCGAGGCGGACGGGCCAGGTTAGGGCGATCTTACGGTATAAACTTCTTGTGCCGTGGAGATGGTCGGCTAGGGTTCCGTTCGGGACGTAGTCGTAGACGAGAACGAGGCCGCGGGGATCGCAGCAGTAGCCATGGAGGCGGACGAGATTGGGATGACGGAGAGAGGAGAGGATCTTGATCTCATTGCAGAACGAGCGAGTGCACGCCGCCGCGGCAAGCGTCGGCTGATCCGGACGGCGGTGAAGCCGCTTTACGGCGGCAATGCGGCCGTCGTCGAGCTGTGCTAGGTACACCGCACCGAACCCGCCGTCGCCGATCTTGCGGCGAGAGTCGAACCCGTTGGTCCAGGATCGGAGCTGCTCGTAAGTGTAGATCGGGGGCTGCTGGATGTGGTGCCGGTCGAGCAGATCGGAGACGGAGGTGTTGTGCGATCGCCGGCGAACGCCGGCGATGAGGAGGCAGGTGGAAATGAGGATGGCGACGGCGACGGCGAGGAAGATTAGGGTTAATAGACGCGGGTGATGGTGTGGGAGGTGGGAAGGGGAGGGGAAGCAGAGGAAGGGTTTGGATGGGGATGAGTTGTTGAAGCCGCAGAGACCTGTTACTGAATCGCGGCAATCGGAGCATTTGGCGAAGTAGGGGTCCGTTCTAGGGTTCCATTCGAGGAGCACGCCATTTTCGAGGAAGGTGGAAATGGCTGACAGAATGTCCGGCGTGCAGCGGCGAGAAGGTACGGCGGGAGAGCGGGGGCAGGTGGGGAAGAGGGAGAGAGGGTCGGCGGCGAGGCGGAGGTGGAAAGGGGAGAGGGAGCATGAGGAGGAGGAGGAGGAGGAGGAGGGGTTTTGGTGACAGGGGAGGAGGAAGGAGAGAGAGTTGCAGGACTGGAGGGAGGGGCGGAAGGGCGAGAGGAGGAGAGGGGAGGAGGGGATCGGGGGGCAGGTGGGAGAGGAGGGGATGGGGAGGAAAGGGGAGAGGAGTATGGTGTTGTTGGGGTGAATGGACAGGACACGGAAGGAGGTGGAGTGGATGGAGATGAGGGAGGAGGAGGAGGAACAGTGGATCTGGAATGAAGGGTGGCCGCAGCCGGGGTGGGAGGAGAAGGGGAAGGAGGAGGGTGGGGATGGAAAAGGGGGGCAGGGATGGCCGGCGGCGGGATTTGGTGAGCAGGGGTGGTTGGAAGGTGGTGGCTTTGAGATGGCCGGAGGGAGGAGGAGGAGGATCAGGAGGAGGCGGAGGAGCAGGAGGGCGGCGGCGGCGCCGTGTGAAGGGATATGTGGGAGAAGTGGAGGGATTGGCATGGAAGAGAGTGAGTGTGACCACGGAGAAGGAGATCACGTGATATAGGAGGGGTCATGGTTTGCGCAAGAGGACATGGGGCTCTCAAGGATGGAGATAAGCTATGGTCAACTCAAAATTACTTTAAAAAAGAAAATTAATTCAAAATTTAGATTCTTGATTTGACTCTTTTACTTTGATCTTATCTTAAAATTATAATTAATTTTCAAGCAATTAATGATATTCGATCTAAATTCGTTAAATTCATAGCATTGACATCATTAAGCATGTTAATGATCCAATCTGTGCTGAGCTGAGGTCATCTCGAAAAAAAAAATCAATCCAAAATTTTGTCTCATAGTTTGGCTCGTTTATTTCAATTTGATCTCCATCTAAGAACAAAATTTGAATCAATTTTTGAGCAATTAACGATCTTCGAGCTAAATTCACAGCCATAAGGACAATTAAGAAATTAAGGCTTAGTTTTGACAAAATTTATTAGGACTTGAGGATATCTTTATCGCCCATGAATCAGATGTATGATGATGTGGTAGTTCATGAATGATTGTCCTGATGTGTAGTGCCCGAACATAATAATTTCTTCTGCTTGGAGCAGCTGCAACTATTTGAAGAAACAACTATAAAAATTACTGCAGAGTAAATTGTTGTTAAAAAATATGTCTCGTAATCTTTTTTAGATGAAAATATCTTGTATTATAATGTAAGGGGTTGTCTTTTCAATCATGAAAGTGGCTAATCCATCATATTATGTTATTACGTTTGTGGAAATAAGTTGATTTAATTAGTAAATACTTAAATATTTTTTGTTAGAATATCAAATTATACAAATATCATATTTAGGTTTGTTTAGGGCACTTGTAGCTAGTTAAAAATAGTTATTAAACCGATGAATAATAATCTGATGTTTAAAAAGTTGTAATGACTATTATATTTTTTTTTTTCGAAAGAGTTAGACCACAGCTAAAAAACTTTAGACCACAATTAAAAAGCAACCACTGCACCTAGCCAAGAGTGATAGGAAAATCCACACCACACCACAGGCCAAATCTATGTCCCAAGATTCACACCACAAGACCCGTTGGATACAAAGGACTTGCTCACGATGTCATAATAAGTACATATGATTCATTTACATTCATAGCAGCCAATTTTTATGTATTTACACATTTAACACCTAAAATTTATTTTTTATATATATTTATACCACCCAAATATTTGACATAACATAAAAATAACGCTGAATTGACTTTAAAAAGTGAAATATATATTTCATGTATAAATAAGATAGCGAATAAAAAAATAAAATTTAAAAAGAGAACTATATTTATATTTTTAACCTCCAAAAAATAAAAAAATAAAAAAAAAGAACACATAAAACATTTAAGACTCACAAAAACTTTATTTTATTTAAACTAAACAATTACATACATACCACATAATTCTTATATATTTACAATATTAACCTTTAAATTTTCTAATATTTAATAGCACATCACAATTATCACCATCATTATCATTTTACCAGTGATACATAAACTTATGACATTTGATGTTATAGATGTAAATACCAAACTTTGAGTGTTAAATACGTAAATTCATAAGAATTATGTGGTTTGTATGTAAATTTGTCATTAAAAAACACATTTGTGATACGATAATTTATAGACTATGGTCAGGATGCTGTCAAAACACCGTTAATCGCACGACAGGTCATCCGAACCATCGTCCGAACGTGCCATTGCCGGACGTAATAATTTCTCCAACTCAAGAGAGCGACTTCATCTCTTCCTTTATAGCTGCAACCAAGTGATTGTAGGCTACGGTCCATGCGCTCTTCATCTCTGCGCTCCACATATCAGGAACGGCCTCTTTTATTGTTTCCAACAACGCATATCTTGTAACCTAATATTAATTAAATTCAAAAATTAAATTTCTAATATAATCTTATATTTTTCATGCCAATCAGTCCTAATGCACATGTGTGCATTGGTGTAAGTGAGCCAAGCTGGCACAAGCATGACTCGTTAAAGAACAGTGATGAGTTCAAGCTCAAGCTTACATTTGAGCTCATATATTACACGAGCCTCAAACTCGAGCTTAGTTTGACTCGACTGAAGAGCTCATCGAATCATCTCGACTAACATTAGTTAATGTCTAATCGGCATGCAGACACCATGAACAAATCCTTAGCATGGCTCGTTTACACTCCTAAACAAGATCGGAAAATAATCAAAGTTTATAGAGTGATTCAACATGATCATACCTCAAAATGTTCATCAACTACACCATAGGCGACGTGTTTGGTGCCAATTTTCTTCAAGGTTGTCTCCTTCACTACAACCTTCCCTGTATTTCTCAGTTGTGCCGCTGCTTCACATGTCTGTAACCACACTAATCATCTCAATAAAACCATTGTTGAGCTTATCAGATGTTAGAAGGCGAGATAGAGAGATTTGTTAACAAAGTACGTACCATGATGAAGACAGACATTGCATGGGCTTTGAGCTTAGGGTTCTTCTCAAGCGGAATCTGCGAGTCTCTTAGGAAAGAGAAGAGCTTTGCAGCTGAAGGTGCAATTTCAAATATTCTGAAGGTAATTAAGATCAAGTGTGTTGATTGATTCAGTAATTAGTTTGCATGGTTTGGTTATGAAGACATTACAAGACACGGACAAGCAGGGTTGTAAATGATCCAATGCACTCGATGAACAACTTGAACTTGCTCGATCAAGAGTCAATCACGTCCATTCAAATTATTAAATAAACAAGTTTGAATAATTTTTAAAAACAAGAAGCTTAAATGAACTAAACATGAATATAGTTGAACTTGTTCATTTATGTTCACGAACAAACTCGTTTATCGCTTAACAATTAATTAACTTGTTAAATATCAAATAATTAACTAAAATATTAACTAGCTTGTTGATAGCTCAATGATAGCTCATATCATATATGATATATTGATAAGTTTACATTCAATTATATTTAAATGCTACACAAATCATTCTATTAAATAACCCCAAAGTGAGGGATTCAGAGAAAAAGGACTCTAAAGTTTCGAGTTTTTCATCAATAAATTAATAACTATGACCAAATTTACAAAATCAATTATTGAAATTTTGTATGAAAGTCTATATACTCGTTTGAATTTTCAGCTTGTTTAAATACTCGTTCACTTGTCATAAACAAATCAAGTTCAAGCATTGCGAAATTTAAAAAGTCAAGCTTGAACAATATATGAAAGTTCGACATAAGCTCCAGCCGAACATAAACAACATTTAATTATATCAAGCCAAGTTTGAACTATGATATATTTGGCTCGATTACGGCCCTACACACAAGTTACCTTAAGAAGAACTTGAGACCAAGCGCGGCTGCATCCTTCTTCATTGCGTTCCATGACTGAACCACAAGAGCTTCCTCTTCTTCGGTGAAGGAGGTTTTGATGAAGTTTGTGCCATTAGAGCTCATAGCAGCTACAGAAAGCTGGTTCATTTCTCCTACTCTGCGCTGGTGGCTGTTGAGAAGTTCTGGAATTTGAGCTTCTGAAATGGAGAAGGAGATGGCTTTTCAGCTCTGGAAGAGGTAGAATGAATTTGAATTAGTCAATGAACAAATATGATTTTGATTTGTTATCAATAAGATAGAGATAGAGAGAGAGAGTTGCTTGTTGGTCTGATGAGGAGGCAAACGGCCAAAAGGGGCGGCTTTCAAATTTTAACCCTTGAGGTTCCAAAAGGATGCCTTAAAGATTGGATTGAAATTAAGGAGCAAGTTATAAGCCAAAATTGTAATTTTTTTTTAAAAAATGATTGACTTGATTAATCAGATCTAATAATCGACCGAGAGATCGACTGAGAAACATTAGATTAATTCATTTTAAATGATCATTATGATTTTAACTTTATTGTGAAAGCAATCAGAGAGATATGTGATCTTTATATGATGCACTAGTCCTAAACACAAATCGAGTAAGAAAGGCAGACTTCGTCTGATAAGAATGGTGATCCTCACAAGTCGGATCCCCCTTTCTGTGCTGAATATGTGAGATAGAATCAATATGTTATGTAGAATTGTAGATGCATGAATCTTTTCGTGCAAAGGAAAAAAAAAAGACAGATAGCCGAGCTCCTGGCCATATACAATCTAAGAAGCATAGAGCTAAGATCGACTCACAGGTTTTCTCGTCCTCTATCTTCAAATGTTTGCCCTCCTTAATGGTTCGGGTTCTACGGGCCTCACGAAGTTTTGACGGGCATCAAATGGCTCCACGGATTACATTTTGAAAGAAAAGTTTATGTAAATTCCTACAAAATAGAGATCACCACAAGCAATTCTTATGCATTTATATACATACGATACAATTCTTATGGCTTCAAATAAGTAGAACAAAGCCCCCAGGACTTACACCAACAGAAATGTAGATAACATACAATTCTTGTGCATTTACATATCTAACAACTAAACACACAAATTTACATGCAGATCACTCAAATATTTAACATAATACAAACTACTGCAATCATAAATTTTTCAAAAAGTGAAATACACATTTTCATGACAGTTTCATGAGACAAAGGTGTTATGGGTGTAAATATCAAAATTTGGGTGTTAGATATGTAAATACATAAGATTATGTGGTATGTATGTAAATTTGTTTATTCTTATTTATATGATCCAGCAGCAAGGATGATTTGAAAAACAACCCCCATCATTCATAGAAATGTAAATCCTTCAAAAAAAAAAAAAATCTTCTTGCATCTCACCAGCTTAATCCAAAGTTTATAAGAAATTAGTAAAATCAGCACAACTTAAAATTTTATGAAGTTTATAACTGTAAATATTAAACTTTTAAGTGTTATATATATAAATATATAAAAATTTTGGTATCTATGTAAGCTTTATGTTGTTGTTGTGAGATCTAGATATAGCAGTTGATGTGGTATATATATAAATCTAACAAGAGAATGATCGACGAAGTGAGAAATAGAACGAGAAAAATAACACCAGAAAAGAATAACACAGCGGAACAGACAGATTTACGTGGTTCGGCAAATTGCCTACGTCCACGGAGTTGCAGAGGATTTTACTATTTGAGGAATTTACATCAGTCGATCACCTCGACTTACAAGAGGAATCTCTCACTCTTCGTTGCTCTCTCTCTTCTTCCATCTCTGTTCTTCTCTCTCTATACCGAGATACACCGATAAAAACTACACCGAGATGCACCGAAGAAAACAAACTTACAAGAGAAATAAACTCAATTTTTCTTCTGTCACAAGCCACCAAGAAGAAGCCTAGGGAGTATAATCTTCTTCTTCTTCCTTCTGCCGCAAGGAATTGCTCCTCCTTGCACTTCTTTTCCTCTGCCCTGAGGAAACCTTCCTTATCCGGAGGAAACCAAAGAAGAACTAAAAGCATGACTACAAAACCCAATGAGAGCTATCCGAAGCTTTTATCACGAACAGGAGGGAGCGAAAAGATGCTTCACTTCACAAAAGAGGAAGACAAAAGTGGTTATTTGTGAAAAGGTGTGACTCTCCAAAGCAAAGTAATCGCCCAAGTATAGTGGATCGGGCTCCACCGTTTCTAACAATTCTCTCACTTGAAGACCATAACACAGACTATAACATCTCCTTCCTCAAACTGATATCCTCCACTGGCGGCCTCCATGAATCCTCCACCTCTGAATCCTCTACCGTGTATCATTCTTCTTGAATCCTCCACCTCTGCAACTCAAAACCTCTGTCTTCACTCCAGAAGACCAACTGAAGCTATGCACAACTTCAATTTCTCAAGAGTAACACCCTTAGTTAACATATCAGCAGGCTCCACATAACTTTGCACCTCCAAGCTATTTCCTGAGTCACTTTTGTCTCTTCTTACAACTCCCATTGCATGAGCAACATCCTATAACTGCTGAAAGTCTTTTTCAACAAGTCTAGTTTTATACCTCTTACTGACATCACGCTCAGTTTTCACCTGGTACATCCACTTGTTGTGCAATGTCTTCTTCCCTGGTGAAAGTTCTGTCAGCTCTCACTTGTTCGAACTTTCATCTTGCAAGATTTCTTCATAGCTTTGAGGTTCTTCAACATCTGTCTGTGGAACAATAGGAATGGGTGCCCCAGACCCACTTTCCTCTTCACTTCCATCACTGCCGTAGATTTCCTACCACATTCAAAGCCCCTGAATCCAACATCAAATCTTCAATAGAACTATGAACTGTCAACAATAGTGCATCCTGTGATTCTTTAGATACCACATTTACGCTATCATTTTCCGTGTTATCATTTTTTATCTTTTTAGAATTCCTGCAGTTCTTCTTTATGTGGTCAGTCTTGCCACGATTCCAACAGGTTGTCTGCTTACTAAACTTTGATTTTGATTTCCCTATACTTGAGTTCCTAGCATGTCATCTCCCTCTGAAATCAACATTCAGTGTCAAACTCGAACCTGAGACCTCGCTAGAATCTTTCCTGCAAATTTCCTCAGCCAAAAAAATCACGAATATTATCGTATTTCAGTTTAGATTTACCTACAGAACTGCTAATTGCTATCTTCATGATTTCCCAACTATCTGATAATGAAGCCAACTAGATCAGTTCATATATCTCATCATCAAAATCAATTTCCAAAGACGACAATTGATTTGTGATAACATTGAAAACATTCAAGTGTTGAGCAACAGAAACATCTTCCGTCATCTTCAAATTGAATAACTTCTTCATCAAGTGCACCTTGTTATTCGCCGATGGTTTTTCATACATGCCTGATAAAGCTGCTATGAGATCTGCAGTTGTCCTTTCCTTGACGACGATATGTGCAATGGACCTCAATAGGGTCAATCGAATAGCCCCCAGAACTTGTCAATCCAACAAATTCCATTCAGTCTCATCTATCCTTTCAGATTTTTTTCCCCAATAACGGAAGATGAAGTTTTTTCCCATAAATATAATACTCTATCTGCATTCTTCAATAACCAAAATATGTGTCATCAAATTTCTCAATCCTTAAAACTTTCACTTCATCTCCAGTCATCATTCTTCCTCAGATCTGAACCAAGTTCTGATATTAGTTGTTGTTATTGTATGATCTATATATATCAGTTGATGTGGTATATATATAAATCAAACAAGCGAACGATCGACGAAGTGAAAAATAAAACGAGAAAAATCATACCAGAAAAGAACAACACAGCGGAACACACAGATTTACGTGGTTCGGCAAATTGCCTACGTCCACGGAGTTGTAGAGTATTTTATTACTTGAGGAATTTACATAAATCGATCACCTAAACTTACAAGAGGAATCATTCACTCTTCTTCTCTCTCTGTTCTTCTCTCTTTATACCGAGAGACTCCGAAGAAAACTCTACACCGAGATAAACCAAAAAAGACAAACTTACAAGAGAAATAAACTCAATTTCTCTTCTGCCACATGCCACCAAGAAGAAGTTTAGGGAGAACAATCTTCTTCTTCTTCCTTTTACTTCCTCCTGCCGCAATGAACTGCTCCTCCTTGCACTTCTCTTCCTTTGCCCCGAGAAAACCTTCTTCTATCCCGAGAAAATCGAAGAAGAACTGAAAGCGGGACTACTACGAGTCATCCAAAGCTTTTATTACAAACAGGAGAGAGCGAAGAGAAGTTTCACTTCACAGAAGAGAAAGACATGAGTGATTATTTGTGAAGAGGTGTGACTCTCCAAAGCAAAGTATCCGCCTAAACATAGTGGATCGGGCTCCACCGTTTCTAACACTTTCCTTCGTTAAATCATATTATATTGATTTCATATGATAAGAATTCATGTTTATTATTCATTGTAACTAAATTTTAATATTATTTTGCTAATTTACAAAACATTTTTTTAATGAGCTTATTCAAAATAATTTACCAAATTAAGTCTCTAACGAAGTCCAAATACTGCTCTCATTATTTCTTTTCCAAATCATTTCCTCAAAAGAAAAAATATTTTACATCCACAGCACACAATTCTTATATATTTCCACATCTAACACCTAAACATTCATATTTACATCCATATCACTCAAATCTTCACCATCAAGTAACATCTACACATCTTCATACATAACATTACACCGAGGTGTTAAAACTATAAATATCAAAACTTGGATGTCAGACATGCAAATACAAAAGAATTGTGTGGTATATATGTAATTTTCACCATCACAGCAAATTCAAATTAACTGAGGATTAGCAACTTCCCTTGACAACAAATATCTGAAACTGAAGTTATGAGGCACCCACTCAACAATCTTCCTGCATCTTCCTCGCTGACACCTCTGAACTGCAGCTCTCATGGCCTCATGAAGATGGCATTGAATCATATCCACCACCTTCTCCGTACTCAAAATAAGATCTTTCGCATAAGATTCTACCAACTTCGGCAGAAGGATTTTTTGCTCTCTCTCAACACCAACTGTAGCTCCAACGTACTCTTCCTTTGCTGTTTCTAGCTGCTGATACAATCTTTTTGCAGTATATATCCTCACCTAAACAGATTTGTGCAATAAAGTTTAGGAACTTTTACGTTCATAACACTCAACTCCTATGTATGGCTATTTACATGAGATTTTTTTAGTCACAGAGTTTTTAGAAGTGTCAAAATAGTCCTCAAACTCGAAGAAGATTAGAGGTCAATTTTAAAATAACAAGGGACTATTTTGGTATTTCTATAAACTCTGAGATTGAAAACGACATCATGCAAATAGTCATGGGATATTTTGGCACTTTACTCTATTTACATATCTAAAACTTAAATTTTGACATACATACCAATACCACATTGCCTATGCATGAGAAGCTGTATTTCAATTTTCAAAAGTTAAAATGATAGTATGTTTTGAGTGGTATGTAAAAAACAAAGTTTTAAGTGTTAGATATGTAAATAAATAGGAGTTGAGTGGTATGTATGTGCATTATTTCATATGAATTTAATGAGATATAGGTTGATTACAGAATGAAAACTTACTGCAGGATCAGAATGGCTTCCAGAGCATAATGCAAAACGGAGGAGTGGTTCCTTCTTGTCAATGGCATAAAAACTTGTCCTTTCATCTCTGCTCTTGAACTTAATCTTTGTATGCTTGAATGTTGGAAGCCACTGCAAGTGTTAACTGTTATGAAATCGATGCGATGCACGGCAAAAGAAGCAAAGAGAAAATAATAGAAAGATTTACGCGAAAGGTTTTAGATGGTAAAAAATCACGGACAGAGGAGAAGAAAATTCGCTATAATGGCCGACTCTTTTCTCATGCCAAACCGTATTGAAATTGAAGTTTTAGAAATTGAATCTTTTAATTTTACAAGCAAAAGAAGCAAAGAGAAAATAACAGAAAGATTTACGTGAAAGGTTTTAGATGGAAAAAAAATCACGGACAGAGGAGAAGAAAATTCGCTATAATGGCCGGCTCTTTTTGCATGTCAAACCGTATTGAAATTGAAGTTTTAGAAATTGAATCTTTTAATTTTACAAATTTGGTCATACGCCACCCATCAAAAGTAGATTTTCTTATGAAAATTTGCTGAGTTGAGTGGGAAAATAACAAGAAGAAATAAATAATTTAACATTTTTTATTTGTTTAGGGGAAAAATCTTGTGATATGTCAGAGATCATCATATAAAAAAATAGTTTCTTTATTGCCTTCAGTAAACTTAGTTGAGAGAAACAAAAAGAAGGGCATTTACATAACTATCATACAATTCTTATGTATTTGCATGTATATAACACCTATATTTTGTTTTTTACATTTATACCATTCAAATCTTTCAGAACACAGCAAAAATACCATTATTTAACTTTTAAAAGGCTAAATACACCTTCTTATGCATAGGTAAGGTGGCATTGATATAAAAATTGAAGTTTAGTTGTTAGAAATGTTAAAACATAAAAATTGAGAGGCATGTGTGCAAATTTTTTTTTTAAGAAAAGGCAAACCTGTCCAGAGAAATTTTGTGTACAGCAGCCAAGCAGTGAAGCCTGTATCAATTTGGCATCTATGGGGTGACCTCCTACTGTGCATGTGGCCTGAAATAAACAAAGCAGTAGTTGCACATAATAAGATATCAGCCCTTCAGTATTTTAATAAATTTTATTTTTTCTTACAAATTTTAAAATGAGCCACTGAAAGTCTGAAACTTTCTACCTTGATGAAGAGTGAAGTCCGTCTGATACTGCTTTGAGGAACTCCATGCACCAAATATGTCTGAACAGCAATTAAAAAACAGCTAATACATCATTAAAAATAAATTAAATTAAAGAAAAAGGCTTTTCTAATTAATAAAAAAGGAAACTTTACATGCATCATCAAAGCATTGTGTAAGTTGATCCAAAAGGCTGTCTTTTCATCATTCTTCATCCTCCTCACATCAACAGTTTCAAGTTTTTGAACAAGGGATCTGAAACAAAATGGACAATTTAGCAGCACAAACACTGCTACAGTTGGGCTTCTCCTTTTCATGGAGTCAAAAAAATTTTCTGTTAAAATGATGTTCTTTAATGAAGAGAAATTTACATACATACCACACAATTCCTATGTATTTGCATATCTAGCATATCTAACACCTATAAAGTTTAATTTTTTACATTGATAACAATTTAGTGTCATGAACCGATGCATGAAAAGGTGTCCTCATTTATAAAGTTAGCAGTAATGATATTATTTATGTGATATTAAAGATTAGAGCGCTATGTATGTAACTTTGAAAGTTTAGGTGTTAGATATGTAACTACATTAGAATTTTGTGGTATGTATTTAAATGCCCCAACATCATCAAAATTTCTTATAAAGTTAGCAGAATGGAACCAAAAAACTCACTTATAAGCACTAAGCAAGACTTCAACAATCTTTAAACTCTCACTGTCCCTTCTGATTGAAGACACTTCCACCATGGCATTGTATGGGCCACTGAAATCGTTCAACCCCGCGACACGAAAAGGATTTATCAGCCGCGTGTCAAGACTTGATTCCCTTTTGCAACTTGGACTCCACATATCTCCAATATACTGTGGAGAACTGACACTCATGGAAGATAATGATGAAGTCCGAGAAGACGCGGGATCATGAATAACCGGTGGAGGATCTGCCAGTCTGCTGTAAATAGCACCCATGCACCTAACCATGTCTTCTGAAACCTTGTTTGGTGTCTCGGGAACATGATCAGCTATACTGGTGCCAAGACATTCCGCCAGGCTAATTACACTAGAGGCACTGCCATGGCCATCCTGATTTAAAAAAAAAGTAGAATTCAAAATCAAAAGTGTACTAGCTCAAACTCTTATCTATCGAGATATTGTCCACTTTGGCATAATGGCCTCGTGATTTTCTCTCATTAGTGTAACTTCCCAGGAGAACCCATCCCAAAAGTGCTCCTGTGGAGCACGCTTAAATTTAGAATTTCTGGTGAATATCTAACTGTTACACTAAAAAGGCACCTTGATGTTAAGAGTTCAACTTTGTTTTATTTAAACAGTTACAATCTTCCTTATTTAAGTAGTTGATTCTATTTTTTGTCTTCAGAAATCAAAATCATCCACAAGGCAGTTATTCCTATCCTCAAACCGGTATAATGCTCCAATATCATTGGTAACGGCATGAACTCTCAAACAATAAGATATTATCCACTTTAGCCTAATGGCCCCACGTTTTTATCCTATTGGTGTAACTCTCTAGGAGGTCACTCATCTCAAAAATGCTCTCACACGAGCACTTAACTCCGGGAGTTCCTGATGAAATTCCAACTATTACACCAAAATCCTCTCGACGTTTAAGTAGAATTTCTTAAGAGTCATGCTTCATTTTGCTAAAGGGGTTTCACAACAAGTTCAGAAAATGAGAAGAGCTCAAAAATGTAAAGGATGAAGTTAACTTACTTTGAGAGCTGAAAATGGCTGATCTTGACATTCATGAAGAGCTGTTGCCAGAGGCTCTTCAGAAGAAGAAAGACGGGTCGAATAAGCAGCGCGATGATTGAGCGCAGAATGGCTGCGGTGGAACTTGGGACAGGCAAAATTCTCACAACAGGGCTCATCCACAAGCTTGTTGGCTGATAATTGAGATGGTAATATTCTAGTGGATTTAACTGCTGCAGTTTGCTTGGGAGAGAGTTCAGCCTTAGGAGCTTGAAACAGCATCCTTTGGCAGCTAATTGGACCTTTCGATCTCTCTCTTGGTGGCATGGAAGGGGATACCATAGGAGTTTGCCGATCGAAAGCGCTCCGATACAACGATAGAAGATAATGCTCCAAGTGCCTGACTTCTAGCTCTAACACTGAAATCTCCCTTATTAGCTCTTGAGCTGGCTGATAAATAAGAAAAAAATAAGTTTTGGTTGATCAAATTTTACAATAATATCAAATAACAACAGTACACAAAATCAAAATCTATTGTTTTCTGTAACAGAAATAAGCAATTCTACATCCCAATGATTTTCTTTCCTTCTGTAATGCAGATAAGAGGAAAGTACCATGGGTATGAAGCTATCATTCAAAGAAGAATCAATGGCGGTTGTTCTATATCCCAGTGCTTTCTCCAGGGCTCGTCGAACTGCCAACTGATCATTTAGCCGTTTCTTAAGCTGAATAATCTGCAAAATTGATAGATTAAATATAAATTTTCAGCGAGCTGCCCTTAAAGTTTCCACAGGAGAGTAAAGGACACAAATTTCTCAAAGATTGACGCTTTAAAACCAGTCAAAAGGCCACACTTTTCCTTTGTTATCTTCTTTTCTTTTCTTTTTTTGGTTCTTTTAGGAGAAAAATTGAAATTCTACATGAACAGTAATGCTGAAATATTTAAGAAAATTCTTTCAACCAAGTAAACAAAAATAAAAATGAAGAAACAGTAAATTTAAAATTTTAAATGTTTTTTTTTT